AAAAAACACATTCTTTTTCAAATACTGTACATTATTGTAGGTCCTCTATGCCCCGCCTCTCTCAAATGCTTCGTTTTCTACAAAGTCCCTCCTTCCGACAAGTGCAGTCTGCTCTGATTGGCCAGCTGACCCAGTGCATTTTGATTGGCCGAACACCGCAAGCACTTGTCGGAAATGTAACGCCCCTTACCATAAATGTAAAGACAGTAAATAATGTTATTAGTTTTACCATCAGTTCAAGCCCGAAAGGGGAATAGACACAGTAATGATGCAGTACACAAGCCGCGGTTAAGACAGCTGACTCCACTGTGATGTGACCCACCCCCTCTCTCTCTCTCTCTCTCTCTCGATGCACAAAACTTCGCATTTGAACAGTCAATAGCAAATACTTAAACTAATAACAAAACATACTTACAGTAGCTGATTCAGAAGCGCCAGATTGTCATAGCAAAGTCAGAATTACCTCCTCTCCTAGGTTCAAGAAACGGTCGTCCATAAAATGCATTGCTGTTCTGTTGTAAGTAATCTTAAAGATTCCTAAATGCATCTACTTTCAGAAGGCCAAATAAAGTGCTTTTGCTTTCGCCTAGAAACACACAGCGTCTCCCTGACATGGCTGCTTCAACGCTAACTGCGGTTACTGAAGCCACGCCTTCTTTCTTTGCGTGAACATTTGGGCGGCATTACGCAAATATTTCCACATAGTGACGTAGACATGTGGGGGTGTGTTAGAACGAGCCGTTTTAGGGGGGCGTGGCAGAGTCTTAACTTTGATAAAGAATATCTCTTTGGTTTTGAGACTTTAGTGTTTGCAACTTCAGGGATCTTATCTATGCACAATCAGCTTGTAACACTCCAAAGAGAAAGGAAAACTTGAAATCGCATCATATGACCCCTTTAACAGAATAATCAGTGCAACCAAAAACAAAAACTGTGATGTAATTTAACTGTTATTTAATTAAAACAAAATACAAATTACACTAATAAAAAATGGCTAAAGCACATGGCAAAATTACTAAAAAGTAAACTTTAATAGTATATAAATAATACTAAAACATCACTGGTGTAAACAATAAAAAGTGCATTATTTTAACAATAAAAAATTCAATTGTTTTGTAGTTAAATTATCTCATCAATAGCAATAATTTTCCAGCTATTTCTTTCTCAAAGCCTGCGAGAAAAGCATGGATATAGTGGATTGTAATCAGTGATGAATTAATGTATTAAATGTCTTCCATTTAAAATAAGAGTAGATGGTATACATAATTTTTTAATAATTAATTAATTTATCCAAATGAAATACTATAAATTATAATATGCATACATTACATTTTATAATGATGGCTTCAGTCAGTTATTTTTGGTCCATGTAGGGAATCAGGTGGATGGTGAAATTGGCGCTAGCTTCTTTATTTATATATGTTTTTGTTTAATTCATTAATTAATAATGTAAATATATTAATATAATACTTTTATAATGAAGGATTCAGTTCATTGTAATTTTGGTCCATTCATGGTATCAGATCAACAAAGTGATACAGGTGTAAATTTACTTCTTTACAACAAAGCTTTAATCATGATTGATAAGACAATAAAAAACATATTTGTCTCCTTGACAGAGGAGAATAAAATCTAGTAATATATAAGACCATCTTTGAATTTTTTTCCACATACTCACCAATGAACATTTGTAAATTGAATTAGAACAGCATCCTGTGTCCTTTCTTTACCCACACAAACACCCTCTCACCTCCCCAACTAAGCACCACATACCATCCCAGCTCTTCCCTTGTAAGGTATCCTTTGTGGGGGTTTGTATTTAGGGAAAATGGTTAATATTTAGGGACTGGAACTTGTAATGTTAGCTGGGCACCTATTTTAAACTAGCCCGCGAAGACCTATATATAGTCCAAATATTTACAGCCGCATATAGGAGGAGAGAACGCTCTCCACACGGCCCATAACATATCTTCTCCATCTCGTTCTCTGTTTGTTTCCTCTTTCCTCTCATCCGTGACGGGGTCGAATGTTCCAGAAGAGGAAGACAGGCTCACCTGTTTATTAGGTGCAATGGAAAAGAGTCGCAGCTTGTTTGGTTTGCCAGGTTTTCCTCCCTTAGTGGAAACAAATAAACTTGTGTTGGTTGTGCTGGCTAAAGCAGTTTAGAGCTACAGAAGCTGTTAGTCAGACTAGTCTCAGATGTTTGCCATGAAAGTTATTAAAAATTCCAACCACACACGAGTCTGCTTGAAAATTAGGGTCTATATATATAACGTTAAAACACGCACGAGTTACAAAAACAGTCGGTTATGTCTGTGAAGATAAACAGCAGGGAAATAAATCGCATGTGTATATTAGATCTGTGTGGCATCAGCAATATACAGTAAATAAATCAATAAATGCACTGCTCTCTTGTCTCCTCTGAGGCTGGGACTCTAAACAGTGTTCTGTGCTCGTCTGTGCAGCCAAAGACAGAACAGTTAGCATGTTATGCTCAAACTTTCGCCATGGCATTAGAACTGGTACACCGTTGTCGCTTGCGAAAACACAATGACTGTGCCATGGGTGGAAACTTACAGATTAAGGGGCGGTGATATTATAATGAGATCCCTTTGCCACGTCACCAAGGGAGCAAAATCTGACGCGCTCGTTTTTTCAGACGCTTGCAGAAAAAGGCTTACTAAAACAAAGTTACTGGGTTAATCTTTTTCACGTTTCCTTGGTTGGTAGATGCACCGGGGACCTGATTATAGCACTTAAAACCTGGAAAAGTCAGATTTTCATGATATGTCACCTTTAAATGTATTCAATATTAAAGTGATCTCATCATTTGGCAATTATTTTCCAATTATTACTTTCTCAAAGTTATAAAATCAGAGTTAATAGAGCTAGTGTATTGTAATCACTAATTGATTAATGTAATAAATTTCTTACATTTAAAATAAGAGCTGCATGCTATGCTGTGACACTCAAATATGGAGTAGATGGTATGTTAAATGATATAACATTTTGAATACATTATTATTTATTATTCAAAATAGCCCTGGAATATGAAATCATATCCTGCTGCTCATATTCACTGCAGTCCAAAATAATTTCACATGCTTAAAGTCTAGCGTGACCACCCCTCTACTACTCGACCCCCTGATCGTCCACACTGACTAGACAGAAAATAGTATGTTTTAAAAAGTTCACCCTTATGTCTGCTTAGTGACAACAGAGCTACTAATCGTAGCTTGTAAATGTAAAGCTTTTGTATAAATATAACAGTCCTGACTTGTTTGTGTTTATGAAGATCCCTGTGGCCCGATCTCACGGCGCATGTCTCTTTTCTCGCAGTTCTGTCGGGTGGACAGCACAGTCCTCTGCGGCGTTCGGTGTCTCTGACCCCTCCGATGAGCGGCGGATCTAACCAGCCTCTGGGGCACGGATGGCTCTCCCAGGAGGACCTGCGTCCCCGCGGGCCGGCCCCTGACCACGCCCCCATCTCTCCTCAGAGCAGCGTGGCGTCCTCGGGCAGCGGAGGCAGCGAGCACCTGGAGGAACACGCTGCTGTCCGAAGTACATTCCATGAGGAGGGCAGCGGGATGAGGGGTGAGCCACAGAAGTGTTTATGTAGACTATTTTTATGACAACTAAACAGATCTTGAAAATAATTCATTGGTCTAATTAGTCACGATGAGCCAGGGCTTTAAAAACTAGGTCACTTACAAGAAAAATGATCCTGCATTGCTTTTCATCTGAAACAATGTGATGTCACTCTCAGATGTGCCAGCATGGCTAAAGAGTCTGCGTCTCCATAAGTACGCTGGACTCTTCTCCACCATGACCTATGATGAGATGCTGTCACTGACGGAGCAGCAGCTGGAAGCTCAGGTTGGTGTTTTGATACTTTTCATTGCTAGGCTGCAAAAATGACTTTCTTACTCAATAGTTTTGTCTCGTATTCCAGTATAAATAATTAAACACGTAAAATAAAAAAAAAAGATTTTACATTTACTATAAGATATTTTTCAAGATGTTTTTACAAGCTGATGTAAGATAATAAGTCTTGTATTTAGAGAAATCAATTCAAATTTGAGGTGTTTGTGAAAAAAACATTTGCACATAAAACATTCATTCCCTTTTGTATTACATTTATATTTCTCACCCCATTGACACCCCATTTTTAATCAGTTTGAATAGACATATTAGCCAAAAATTAAGAATTTGTTCCCATGACTTATTCCTTTGTTCCCTCATTTTAGGTAAATTGTAGCTATGATTTAATTTAATTAAAACAAGGAAACTAATTAGTAAATCATGGTAGAGATTTAATGAAAACGAGAGTATGAAGTAATAAAACATAATAGGTAACACACTAGGTAACACTTTATTTTACAGTGTCCTTGTTAACATGTTACATGTACTTACTATTATAACAACAATAAATTATGCATAATTACATGCACGTAATTACATGCTAAGTCGATGTAGTTAATTATAATTACTCTGTACTTAAATATATAATTACACTGTAACAAGGTCACCTTAATGTGTAACCATAATTATTAATTTGCTCACTCGTTTTAGTTAAATCATTTTGTGTTTTTTTCTCTGCATGTCTTGGCAAAGCTCAGTCAAAAATACTAATGAAGGAAATCAGTTGTGCAAATCTCCAGTGTAAAAATGATTAAAGCAAGTAATATTGCCAGAGAGGTTCTAGCATGTACAAGATACAGACATGCTTGTGAGAGTTTGAGCCAATCAAATGACTCCGTTACTCAATGGCTCTTCTAGCTATTTATGTGATGCAGGGGTTGAAAATCAATTACAATGTCTTGATTTAGCTAGTTTGCTAACAACATTTAGCTCCAAATAATTTGTGCATACAACTAGGTGTAGCCTGCTGTATTTTTGACACTGCTACAGGTAATTTCTGACAAATGACATGTAATTTTGGTGGCCATTACTTGTGGAAAAATACATACAGGGCCTCATTGGAAAAGTACATTTTATGGCAATTTGTGTGTTTTTATGTGTGAAATGTGGCTATTATTGTAGGGGAATCATATATTGTCTCCATCATGTATGTACATATATAGATTTTTACATTTTATATATTGTAGCAGCTTTGCATAGTATGAGATCTGTTGTTATGTCATATAGCATGTCAGATTTTGTTTTAAATCTTGTTTTTCTCTGATATAGCAAGTCACCAAAGGGGCACGGCACAAGATCATCATCAGTATTCAGAAGCTGAAAGACAGACAAAACATGCTACGCTGTTTGGAGAAGGTCAGAGACTCTCTTTCACCATCTCAGTTTATTTCAACCCATAGTCTTTGTTTTTGTGAACAGTCCTATTAAACTTTACATTTGCAGTCATTCATACTGTGGATACTTTTTTCACTGTTTCAGATTTGGGTTTGAACCTTCAACCTTTCCGTTTCCAGCCTTGATCTTTAACTGCAGTGCCACACCAACTCTGAAGCCCAAACCTCTGCCATTATCATTTTCACATGCAATTTGTATGTGTGTTAATTATTAAATGTCATCTATTTAATTCAAGGACACAGTATTTGAAACAACAAGAGACAGGAAGGAGCCAGATGTCTAATTTCAGAGCAACCTTTTCATCAAGCTTTCCATCTCCATGCATTTGTAGCATCAGAAATCAGACACCTCCTCCTGATAGCTGAATCCATTTAAAGTTTTAATGTCCCGCATGTGTCGGCCCTGTTAAGAGTCGCACCGTGCGACAGGGAAACAAACATGCTCGTATTTTTGGTAGACCTTTATTTTGTCCTCACATGTCATTTTCCGCCTCATTACATGTCTGAAATATCCCGACACCCGACAGTTGCCCGTACTGAATTTATGGAAGCGTCCAAAATAATGCCGCACCGCAACCTTGAATATAACAGCTACGCTCGCATCCATTCATTTGTCATCTCTCTCTCTTTCAGGACATTTTGGAGGGAGGGAATCTACGTGCTCCTTTGCAGGAGCTCCACCAGATCATCCCGACGCCCATTAAAGCCTGCAGCACAGAGGAGTCTTCACAGCACCACCTGCTGAGCGCTGAGAGGAAGAGCAGCATCGCCACTTCCCACCTGGGTGGAGGAGAGACGGAGGGCAGCTCCACGTTCATAGCCGAGGGAGACATCCCTGCTCAGTTCACTCGCGTCATGGGCAAAGGTTCAAACGTTGCTCTTCTCGTCATCTAAGAATCATTTGAGGCTTTTAGGAATGTTTAGGTCACCACTTTCCATTTCCAAACAACTTTATCTTACGGACAGAAAAACGGGTCAGAAGATGTCAGATAGAGATCATGTAATTTACTTCCCTTAGCTCTTGCTGAGTTTTCCATAACTATACGAGATTGAAAGTCATGCTGAACTAATATAGTTTGGCATTGTGTAAGAAGTTTTTTTTTTTTTATATAAATATGTGACTTTAACTCTTTCTTTCTGTTTTTGTGACAGTTTGCACACAGCTCCTCGTCTCAGGGTCGGATGAGGAGAACATTAGTTCCTACCTACAGCTTATTGATAAGTGCCTAATCCGTGAGGTGAGTGTTCATCAACTTGAAGTATCCTTTAATTAATTTCTTAATACATGAAAGTTCTTGGTCTTATTGAGAAAAATTCATCCACTTTTTATAATTCCCATTGGATACAATCATGTCCTTACTTGTTGAATATCCTGTTCCACTCAGAAAAGTGTCAAATAATGGAAGTAAAATGGTTAGTGAACTAGTGTTGTTATTGTTAACCAAAACGGTAATTAAAGTAAAGCTGAAATAACTTAAATGAAAATTAGAAATGTTGCCTTGGCAGCCAACTGTCATAAGTTTAAGTCGAAACATTAAATTTACTAAAACTAAAGCATAAATAAAAATAAAATACAGCTAAATGGAAATATTAAAAATGAAAGCACAAGAAAAAAAATTAATAAATAAAAACTGATAATATAAAAATAAATATAATTCAAAATATTAATAAATACTATTATTATAAATATACTAATATATATCATCTTCTTATCAGGAAGACTCCAGATTTGACTCCAGTGTCTCTGAGAAATTAGACTTAAACGTCATGAAATCAAATTAGTGTTTAGTGAATTGAAGGCATTTGTTAGGTGCTTTTATCCAAATCAAAGTACAAAAAGTGTTTTAGTTTCTCATGTGAGACTGTTGAGGTCAGCAGATGGCGAGCATACAGTTCCCTTTTCTGGTTTGTATTATCCTTATTATTGAAACTTCTGAACAAATTACACACTAAATTTAAGAATAAGCAGACATAGTCCCGTTAGGCACAGTTCTGGAGTGATCAGTTATGAGGTGTGAAGTATGTTGAGCTGGAATGGAAATGCTGAGTCTCTCACTGCTGTGATGTCTCCCACCTCTCGCAGTCCTTCACAGAGACACAGAAGAAGAGGTTGTTGTCTTGGAAGCAGCAGGTGCAGGTGCAGTTCCGGTCAATTTCACGGAAAACTCTCCTGGACCTAACAGGACAGAGAAGAAGGTAAAGTGGATTTTGGAGGTCATGGTTAGAACCAAAGCACAATTTAACCTCCTTATTCTGTTTAGAACATTTGACTGTGCATTATTCTTCACATGTTTCTAAATGATTAAATAAAATTCAGTGGAAGTTATTCACTATGACAGCTGCCATCTGATTAGCAGAGCAGTGATTCCCGACAAAACCAGGTTTGTTGCTTAAGTTTTACCGAATTACGTCATGCAGTGAACTGAGAACAGACATTAGCCAAGAACAGTCATTTTGAGGTTTACTCTGTCAGACACGTTGATTGATTTAGGTCAGAATTATTGCCATCTGTGTTTTTATTTATTGGACTAATACTTTAATGATGATCAAAAACCACAGACCACACAGATGTGTTTAGGACCATGAGTCACGGTTTGCCGTCACTCCCTACTGGATTACATCACGGCCCGAAAATAGAGCATATGATACTCAACAAGAATCTCCTATTTTATGCCACAGTATGAGGCATTATGGACTTCTACATCAGTGGTTTTCAAACTTTTTAACTTTAAAGTCCCCCATTGTCAAAGTCAATACAGAAAGACCCTCCTACACAGACTCTTGTTTTTTTACTGCTGCCAAAATCAAAAATAAGTATTGAACACGTCACCATTTTTCTCAGTAAATATATTTCTAAAGGTGCTGTTGACATGAAATTTTCACCAGATGTCGGTAACAACCCAAGTAATCCATACATACAAATAAAACAAAACAAATAATTTCAGAAATTAAGTTATGTGTAATAAAATATAATGACACAAAGAAAAAGTATTGAACACGCTTACTGAAATGTATTTATTACTTTGAGTCAGGTGATTGGCTGGCCATTCTAGCAGCTTTACTTTCTTTCTCTGAAACAAATTGAGAGTTTCCTTGGCTGTGTTTGGGATCATTGTCTTGCTGAAATATCCACCCTTGTTTCATCTTCATCAGCTAATATTAATTTCCACTGTCAAGGGGCAGGATTGCTTTCTAATTACTGATAGATTTCATCTGGTGTCTTGGCTTTCCATGCCTTTTTGCACCTCCCTTTCTTCATGTATTCAATACTTTTTCTCTGTGTCATTCTATTTTATTACACATAACTTAATTTCTGAATTTGTTTGTTTCATTTTCTTTGCATGTATGGATTACTTGGGTTGTTACCGACATCTGGTGAAAATTTCATGTCAACAGCACCTTTAGAGATAAATTTACTGAGAAAAATGGTGACGTGTTCAATACTTATTTCAATACGCTGTATGTATGTATGTGTGTGTGTGTTAATTAATGACACTATAATAATTATGTATAAAAATTATGTAATAATTCTGCATATATATTATACTGTATTATATTTCAATATATAAATAATATTGATCTTCTTTATGCACCAAGAGCTTGTAACACTCCAAAGAGAAAGGAAAACTTGAAATCGCATCATATGACCCCTTTAATATATATAAATAATAATACATTTGATTGAAATTTTTACAAGTTTTGAAGTTGCTTTCTCTTTCTGTAATAGCATCAGAGTATCTGAGTGGTATTTTATGACTGTCTGTTTTTTTTTTTTTTTTTCATTTCAGCAGTCGTTACGGTCAGTCCAACTCCCTCCCAACCACGGGATGCGTAGGCAGCGGTGTTCCCACTCGGAGGAACTTGCGCCAGTATCAGATGCGGAGTTTGCCTGGTGTCAGACCCATCCTTTTGGGTACCACCGGCCTGTTCGGACCAACCCCCCGAAGCGGCAGCAGCACCCCTACCGGCCTGAAGCAGGGAAGACAGGTCTGTCATTTCACAAACGTGCCCTAGTGCCCTCACGGTGGCTTTCAACAACACCCAACCCGAAGTGTAAATGACTCTATTACCACTTCAAACTGAAGGGAGCTCTAGTTTTTGAAGTGGATGGAGCTGGAGGCGATTTACAGCATTCCAGAAATCCTACATCACTGTTGAATGGAACAACTGAGGATCGGGTTTTGGAAGCGCAGTGATAACCTGGCATTCTTGCGTGTCTGCTCAAACATTTTTCTAGGCACGCTTACAATGGGAGGAAGTTCCAACTGCCTCCCTGGTTCAGAGTCTGTGGACGGTGGGGTTAGGTGCGCGAAACAGCCGATGAGTCATATGTGGGGAGAAGTGCAACTGGAGGGAGGAGAGAAGAAGAGGAGAGAAAGAAAGAGAGAGTGAGAGAGAGGGAGCTAGTCAGAGGCAGTGAGAACAGTGCACAGGCATTTCCTGTTTTTCCCTGCTCGTCTGTACGGGAGGGCCAGGAAAGGGGGAGAGGGAATCAAATGAAGGGAGTGAGAGAGAGAGTGAATGAAAGTCGGATATGCAGGTTAGAAGAACTTATTCACATCAGATCACTACATTAATGGATGAATCCTAATAAATGATCAGTTGTCAGAGTGATACATCACCCTAAAAAAAAATGTAGTCCCAAATTTCCCCGTCCCAAATTTCTCCTTACCATAATGCAAAAAAAGTATGACGTACATTTTAAAAATAAAAAAAAATGTGTATTACAGTAATGAGAATCACTTACACAGTTACACAATTGTTGTAAGTAATTCATGCATATGAAGAAAAATGGTTGTATTACAATAATGAGAATAATGGGAATTACAAAACAGTAATGCAAAAAAGCAGATTGCAATTTCAGGTAAATGTTTAATTGTCATAAAGATAATGTTACAGTGCCCAAAAATAACCCATCATGGTACACACAACTATATTTAAATTAAATTAAATATAAAAAATATTATGTGTGTGTGTATATATATATATATATATATATATATATATATATACACACACACATAATATTTTTTATATTTAATTTAATTTAAATATAGTTGTGTGTACCATGATGGGTTATTTTTGGGCACTGTAACATTATCTTTATGACAATTAAACATTTACCTGAAATTGCAATCTGCTTTTTTGCATTACTGTTTTGTAATTCCCATTATTCTCATTATTGTAATACAACCATTTTTCTTCATATGCATGAATTACAAAAAATATTTTGTGTGTGTGTATATATATATATATATATATATATATATATATATACATATAATTGTATTATGGTGAAATGACATGGATATGTTTTTGTTAGATTCATTTGTATATAGAGGAATTTTATAGAAGAAAAATATGTTTAACACTGAATGAATGAGAAAGGATTTGTTTTCATTACTAGTCATTTGATGTTTAGAACAATAAAAGGCTTCATAATCAGGTGTAACTGTTTTTCATGTATTATCCATCAGTTTAATGAACATGAGCACAGATGTAATTTGGCTGGCATGTGTGTTTTTGTGGTAGGGTTTGTGGTTTGCCAATCCAGGGGGCAGTAACAGCATGCCCAGCCGCACTCACAGCTCAGTTCAGAGGACTCGATCACTACCCGTCCACACCAACCCACACACCATGGCCATGTTCCAGCAAACAGGTAAGAGACCAGAACTCAAAACACACTCATCATGTTTAACTCACAGTCTGCTCAGGCAAAGCAGAAGTAACATCATCTCTGACACAAAACCCCCCAGATTACTTAAAAGAGGCAACATTTTGAAAAAAATTCCTTACAATTAAGGAGCTTGGAGGTAAAAATGCTTGTTAATGACCTTAAACTTTGTCTCTTCAATTGGACTGTTTATTTATTCATTTATTTATATATTTATTTATTGCCGTGCATGAAAATCAGTAATAAATGTTCAAGTGTGCGGTTCATTGTGCTGCTTTAAAAAATATTTGTAAATGCACATTTTTCCTAAACTAGACCTTTGTACTAACCTCCCTTTAAACCATCTTAGAATAGAAAATGTCATCAAAAAACTAAAAAAAAATAAAATATTTTTTTATCTGTTAACTAGCCTATTACTTAATAACATGTTTTTAATCATGTTTGAGTTGTTGAAAAATGTTTACAATGTTTGACATCTAAAATATTAGTTGATATTTTATTTCGATTTATTATATATATATATATATATATATATATATATATTTATTTTATTTTTTTTATTTTTTTATTAATATATAATATCCAAAATTTTTCATTATAAAGAAAATAATATTATTAATAATAATAAAATATATATTTTTGATAGACTTTTGTGGTCTGGATATCTGAAGCGTGAGGACAGCTTTTCCTGATTTTTGTGCATTATAAAGATTTATAATTTCATTCAACATGCTGATTATAAATATATTTCTTTGGTAAAATAAAACACTACAGAAGCATAGAAAATGACTTTTGTCAAAAAAAAAAAAAAGAAACATCAAATATTTCTTAGTGGTCAGAAAGACCTTGAGACATGTCACATTTAAAGCAAATCTTTTCCGGCTTCTCTGTGCTGCATGCTCCACTGACACACATTCAGTTCCTCTCTGTCTGTGGCTCCGCTCTGACTGCAGCTGAAACTCACTTCCTTTAGTTTGCTCCGTTCTCATGGATTTACAGAAATACTCGACACCTTTCGGAGAAGAAAGAGATGCTGTGCACAAGAGAGTGTACAGTGTTTTTGTGTGCTAGGTTGCATGTTACAATGACTTTCTTTGTGCAGCATGCCTTCCACTTTCTCTCTCCGACTCATTCCCCCTTGTGTTCTCATTGCCGCCCATCCGAATGTGTTCACATTAACGCCTTGATTAATTCAAAGGCAACAAAGAGGGGAGCACTGTGAGAGAGAGACTTGACGGGCCTTACAGGATTTTCTGCTTAAAAATAGCAGGTTGCTGTTCCGTCCAGCCACTGGTTGCCTAACTCAGCTCTTCCTTCCCACAAGGGATTTTCAAAGGCCCGTTTGCTGTTGACTCAGCTAAAGACGAGCACAGTAAGGGCCGGCCCAGCCCGAGCAGCGCTGCAGGAGCCTTGAGCAGTCAGACTCTGCCCCACTGAGACTGAAGCTTCTCTTTAGAACAGAGCTCACACTGTAGGCCAGTGTACTACTGAGGGAACTATGAACACGATCGGTTCACAATCAGTTCAGTGCAATTTGCAAGCATAATTTTGAAAATTGAGGTCGCAATTTTTAACTATTGATCAGTTGCCGTATGGTGACTAAGATGTGAATGAGACCTCTGAGAGGTTTGAAATGCATCTTTGTTTGCCTTTTTTCTCTTGCTGGTCAACATCTGTGTGTGTTATTGGTCAAAAGAGAATGAAATTAAATTTATAAGGTCTGGGCTAGTAACTGTTAAGGTTAATGGTTTAAACCAAGCAAGGGTGATCTTTATCCATTTTGCTTCTGAGCAAAACTCTTAGCCCCTGATTGCTTCAAGGGAATGCTTCATTTAAAGGAATAGTCACCAAAAAATTTAAATTTACTTTGAATTTATTTTAGGCCACCCAAGATGAAGATGCGTTTGTTTGTTCTTCTGAACAGATTTGGAGAAATATCTGCAGTGAATGGGTGCCATCAAAAAAAGGTCTTAATGGTGGATTTGTTTTTTACATGCACAACTTTAGCTTCACAAGACATTAATTGATGGACTGGAGTGGTGTGGATTACTTGTGGATTATTGTGATGTTTTTATCAGCTGTTTGGACTCTCATTCTGACGGCACCCATTCACTGCAGAGCATCCAGTGGTGGTGAGAAAGTGATGTAATGCTACATTTATCCAAATCTATTCCCATGAAGAAACAAACTCATCTACATCTTGGATGACCTGAGCGCAAGTAAAGTTTTAGCCAATTTTTTTTGTGAACTATCTGATAAAAAGATAGATCATAGATTCAGGTTCAAATCTGGCCTGCATTTTGTGCTGTTCCCATTTACAGATTTGCTGTTGTTATCTACTGTTTCTGTGAGGCAACCACAAATAAACACTTTCTTTCTATGTTTGGTATATCAAGACATCAGTCAGTGTCATGTAGCCCTCACTTGGCTTGTTATGTGTTGTGTATTGTCATAACTTGTTGAAGTTGACTCAGTTTGTTTGTCATTTTGCAGATTTACAGGTGCCTGTGACTGAGCCTGACATCAATAACCGTCTGGAGTCTCTGTGTCTCAGCATGACTGAACACGCTCTGGGAGGTACGTGTCCACTTCTTGCTCAAGTTATAAATACTGCACTTAGTTCACCCAAAAATGAAAATGACATCAACTTATTTTGGGTTTTTTTTTTTGAAGGAAATTAATACTTCTATTCAGGAAGGATGCATTAAATTGGTCAAAAGTAAGAGGAAAGACATTTATTGTAATTTCTATTTGAAGTGTTTTGAACTTTCAATTCATCAAAGAATCACATCCCATTTTCCACAAAAATACTAAGCAGCACAACTGTTTTAAACATTGATAATAATAAGAAATGATTCTTGAGCACAAAATAGCTTTATTAGAATGATTTCTGAAGGATCATGTGACACTGAAGAATGGAGTAATGATGCTGAAAATTCAGCTTTGCCTTCACAGGAATAAATTGCATTTTAATATTTCTTACAATAACAACAACAGTTGTTTTAAACTAATATTTCACAATATTACTGTTTTACAGTTTTATTTTTTATCAAATAAATGCACCCTTGGCAAGCATAAAAACTTCTTTCAAAAAATGATGTAAAGATATTAACATGTCCATCGCTGAAAACAGAAACTACTTGTCTAGTAGTAGTTAAGCAGTCTGTCAGATGATATTTTCACGTTTTAATATCTGAATACTCAGTACTCGGTCTTTTGGTACGAGCTGATGAATAAGGATGTTTTTAGGATTGCGTCTGATTTTATCCCCAATCCATGAGAACGGAATTTGAGGAAACGGTTTGGATTTATGCTGACCATGGCAGGATCATGAACCCCCCCCCCACAGGACAGTTTCTGTTAGCAGCATCCCGTCGAACACTCATTCAAAAGGTCAAAAAGCCTTTTGAAGTCCTTCGTTTTCCTTTGAAAATGTTCAAGGGATGACATTTTTTTCTTCTCCGCAACATTTTAATTGAACTTTTTGGGGTGTTTCTTTGGTGGGAGCTTTAGACGACTCTTCAGACACAACAATCTTCAAAAGAGAAAATATTGTGACTATCAGTTTCACACAGAAAGGAGTGTTACTTTCTATCCACACGTCGCGGGATCAATGCAGTGAGCATTCCCATGTGAAGTGGAGGTTTTCTTTGCATAGAGTGTTTTTTCTCTCAGGCCTGACACAGAGGCTTTCAGTGCAGTGGGCTCGGTGCTGGACAAGCACAGCTTTGTGTTGGGGGAGTGCAGGGAGACAGACAGGAGAGAGGCAGGCAGACAGGCTGAATCAGGGAGACGGGCAGAAGCAGTGGGCAGCTCTGCGGTGAGCTCAGGAATGCCCCGCTCGCTCCACAGCTGCCAACAGAGCCCGTAGTGTTCTTGTGGCAGCGTACCCCTAGTCTTTCCCCCCCTCAGGACCTCCACCTCCTCTGGTCAGCAGCCTGCCTGGGAGTTTTGTGTGTCCTCATTACGCAAAATGAGACAGCTTGCTCTGTGAAACTGTTCGGTCGGGAAGTCCAATTCATTTTAAATGAACCAGAAGCAAAAAAAAAAAAAAAAAACGATTCATTGAGTTTTTTTGAGTCACTCAGAGGCTTCCCAGAAGTCCTGTGCGATACTTTCTAGTAAGTTATATAAGTTACACTACCATTCAAAATGAATGGTATACTTGGTTATACCATTCAAGATTTAATGAATACTTTTATTCAAGGACGCATTAAGTGCTTAATATTTTCTAGTAAGTTAAACAAGTTTTTTTGTTTTGAAAAAATGTACTTTTATTCAACTGGGATAATTGCTTGATATTTTCATTTGAATATTTTCAATATTGTAAAGTTACAATACCATTTAAAGGTTTCAGCTCAGTACGTATTTTTTTAAGAAATTAATACATTTGTTCAGCAAGGGTGCATTAAATTGATAAAAAGTGACATAACTGTTCTCTATGGAAGCCCGTTTCCACCACTGAATAAAAAAGGTAATTGTGACTTTTTATCTCACAATTCGGACTTTTTTTCTCAGAATTGCCTGATATAAACTCTCAATTGCTTGTTCTAAAGTCAGAATAGTGGGAAATAAAGTCAGAATTGCGGGATATAAACTTACAATTGCGAGAAATAAAGTCCAATTCTGAGGAGACAAGAAGACTATGTTCTCAGAATTGCGAGTTTATATCTCAATAAACTTGCAATTCAGAGAAAAAAAGTCATAATTGGCAATTTGGATCACACAGTTCTGACTTCAGAATTGCATGATATAAACTCGCAATTGCGAGAAAAAAAGTGAGAATTGTGAGAAGTCACAATTACCGTTTTTTTGGGGGTTTTTTTTACATTTTTTTGTTCAGTGGCGGAAATGGGCTTCCATAGTTTTCAACATTGATAATAATAAGAAATGCTTATTAAGCACCAAATCAGCATATTAGAATGATTTCTGAAGGATCATGTGACTCTGAAGACTGGAGTAATGATGCTGAAAATTCAGCTTTATTACCATCACAGGAATAAATGACATTTTAAAATATATTCAAGTAGAAAAGTTTTCTTAAATAGTACACACAAAAATAGTTTCACAATATTACTGTTCTATTTTTTAACAATAAATCCAGCCTTGGTCAGCATAAGAGGCTTTAAAAAACATTACAAATCTTACCGACCCAAACTTTTGACAGGGGTGTACATGTGAAAGAATACAAGATGACAAAATGTTCATGTTTGGGTGAAAGGTTCTCGAAGTGTTCCAGAGTTGCACTTGATTGTGTCAATGTCACGATGTCACTTGTTTCCATAGATGGCGTTGATCGAACTTCAACCATCTGAGAGAAGAAAAGAGGGAGCACAGGGAGACGGCATGCCTGGCAGCAGGGTGAAAGGTCATCACGAGGTCACGAGACCCTCTGCCTATAACCCTCCACCTGCTCACCTTCCAACACCAAATAGCCAATAGGAGAGGTGGGGCGTGGTCTACACAGTGCCATTCACTATTTTCTGAAAGGCTTAACACAAGCAAGATCTGTCACCATGACTACTTCAGCGTGTTTACATTGGAGTTTGGGAGAAAATCACATCTTCAACACTTCCTTAGAAGAACGCCGCAAAGGGTCTACGTGTCGACAGGCCATTAGAGGGGGTCCGACAACTCAAAGCGTTCAGGTGGCTGTCCGGGACGTCACAAAATCCAAACCAGCCAGCAGACGAAACCAGATCAAGACGTAGTTGCAGATTCGATTTCTGTGCCTCTGTGCAGATGCTAAAAATATTACGTTAGAGCATGTTCGAAGTCATTTTTTTTCAGGTGCGAGTGTTCTGAGGACGGTGTACAGCTTTAGGTTCCTAAATGGCTTCGTAGTTTACAATTGCGTTTGTATTCACTGTTTTGTTGTTCTAGTTTTCATTTGTGCCAGCAGGAAAGCTGATTTACAACACTACAGTACAATGACAGTCAGAGCTACGGATGGTACTCAGAAGAAAGAGAGGGAACGTGAGAGCAGCGATGGGAAAGGAAACAGGAAGTGATGTCAGTGGAAGGGTCTGTAGAGGGAGCGAGGAATGTCGTACATGGATTCTGACGTAAGGAACGGTCGAGGGAGATCAGGAGGTCAGAGAAGTGGAATACAGGAGAAATGCCAGCAAATGCAAGTAGATGGAAAAGTTGAAGAGGAGCAGGTGAACATGGAGGTCAGAGGTGAGGTGAGGTGCGCAGATCCAGACAGAATATGCAGATATATATATATAGTAATATTTTTTTTAAATATCTATAATTTTTTATATTTTATTTATATTTTAATAAATGTAATTAAAATATAAATAAAATGTTAAAAATATATTTAAATAAAATTAAAATTAAGTTAATTTAAATAAATATGATATGCATATATTAACTATTTTTAGTGGAAAATCTGTGGTAAACATGGTAAAATGTGTTAAACAGACCTTGTATTTGTGTCTGAAAGGATAAACATGATTGGGAGACGTGCACAACTTCATGAATGATGTTCGTTCAGATACACAACTATTTTTTTATGCATTTAATTTTTTTTAATCTGTAAATGCACAGCCGTAGATTGATCGTTTGGTGATTTTGGTTCGATTATAGGTGTCGTATGGATGTTTTCAGTTGGTTTCTGTGTATTTGGGATATCACATGCGTGGTACACTGTGTCCGTAGACTGTTGGAGCAGCAGGGAGAAATATACAGTTTGTCACATGAGGAAAAAACACTAATGCACCCGTTTCTAGTACAGAGCGCCATCATGTGGTGAAATAAGTGAGGCTAGAGTCTTTATTTTTTATTTTTTTTACAGTACTGTCTTAATATCAGCCATTAGTTAATCATGCCAGGTATTAAAAGTAGAACGTTTACAATAAGAAATGAGCTTTTAGTTTTGGACTCTGATCTGATTTTCTGCATGGGAAGGGTCTGAAAGTTTTTTTTTTTTTTTGCTTTAATTGTTTTAATCCAGGACATTAAAGTCCCTTTATGAGGGTGTTCAATGATTGTTAATGTATCTTATTTAGAGTTTTTCCTATAATAACTTTGCTTTTCCTGCCCTTGGTGCTGTGAATCCTTGCTGAAACCATCAAAAGTGAATTTGCAATAACGTGCAATAGACTCTTCATCAGCAACACGGTGTGAATCATAGGGCTGAGGGGGAACTGGGGGTCCCGGAAAGAGGAACTGGACTAACAAACTCCGCCCTCTCCTCCAAATCTCCCACAATTCCCGTATTCGCCGGCCTACAACTTGACGCACCTACCCACACCTCAAGTGTTTTATGCTTTTTGGCTTATCCAAAGAAACCAATCATGATCAAACGGACAGTAAAGAGGCACTTTGGCATCCGTTGAGTGGCGACTGACAGGGTTCAAGCTGCCTAAAAGAAAGAATGTTGACTATGCAGTGTGTCGGCTTCATAAGTGACTTGGTGCCTCCAAACTAGTGCTTTTAAAGTGCATGAAATGCCTTAAACGGAATGGTAGCCGGTGTTTTACAAGCATGTTAGCAAACCGTCATGTGGCATCTTGTGCATCTTGTTTCTAGAGGTGCATTTATTTGTGTGTATTAAGCCACTCATCACTGCCATTTGAAAACAATTAGCAGATTCAAATGATTATTTATTCTTTTCTATTATTGATGCAGAGGTTATTGTATTCATTAGATGTATTATTTAAGATACCTTGTGTATTAACTTTTTGCTATGGCTGGTAACCATAAGTACATCTCAAATAACAACCTAGTTTTTTTTGACGTTTTGTTTTCCCAATCTGCATTATTTGTTATCTAAAAAAACGTACCTGATAGTCAAAAGACATATCAGTTTTTTTTATGTTGTTTTAATATTGCTGTTTCCTTTCTTTCTTGTATCTATAAATGCTTATATTTTGCTAACTCTGCCTAGTTTATTTTGAATTTTAAGGAAAATGTTTTTTATATTGTTACACGGTGTAAAACAAAGAGCCAAGTGTGTGTTTTTTTAGATTTCGCTGTTATTCTGTTGCTGTTTTTCACCTCAGCTGTTACGGCGTTTAATGCCAAATACTTACGGCGTAGCGTCATTGCGTAGTTCTTTACGAAGAATGCTGCTCGCTTGTGATTGGATAACGAAGAATGATGCTTATTCAGCTCTGGTTTGTTTAAATGTTTTTCAGATTCGTTCCCTCATTGCGAGCAAGCTTTACTTAATTTTTTTGCAAATGCGCTTGACTGCAAACATGCAGCAAAATTACAATGCTGTAACAGTGTTAACATTTACATGCTGCCTTGGTATTCCGAAAAAATTAAAATAAAACTAGCGTTTTAGCGTTGACGATACCTTTTTTTGTTGCATTGTTTTGTAGAAGGTTTTGGCCGTTAGCATATTGAAACTCAGATGCTGATCGATTTGATTTGATTTTTATTTGATTTGTTTTTTTCCCATTTATTCTGAAGGGTCTTTGATCTTCTTAGCATTTTATTTTCAAGAGCCGATGTCCTGTATTGACTGCAGGCTGACGTACATATACATATATAAAAATATATATTTGAAAAGAATCTTATGTTTATGAAACGATAAAACCAAATAAAAACCGCGAAAAAATCAAACAAAACACGAAAAAAAAAAGGTAATTTATATTTTAGAGATGCATGCAAGAGGCTGGGAAGTCATATCTAGAATAACAAATGGCAGTGCCTTTTTTGTATTCAGACATTTACCCCAAATGTAAATGATTTTATATGGCTCTAAAATATAGAGGTAAGCAAGACGCATTGATAGTCGAAACTTCAAATCATACAAAGTCCATACGAGCTGATTCTTTGCTCGAGAGGAGCGTGCTGGTAGTTCATGGGGATCTGTATGCTTTAGGTACTTAAGTGCTGTTATGAAGTTATGATTATATCTGTATGTACAACACAGAGATGTGTATATATTTTTGTTTGTATGTGTGCGAGTGTGACACTGTACGTGTATCCAGGTGAGAAACCGGATTGTCTTGTAACTTGTACATATACTTTCTTAGTTGCATCATAACATGGATGCACAGAGGCTGTTTTTCCACTTCCTGTTTCCTGTGAGGCGTCACAGCTCGTGTTACGTCTCTGCTCATCTTAGCACAGGTTTCAAACATCTTTACTGAAATAAACATGACTTTAGTCAATAAAGAGAGGGATTCTGTAATCTCTTTCCCTCTTTGTTTCGTGGCCTTGTGTGTGTTTTTGTACGTTAATGGGAGATTATAGTACTGTTTGTGTGTGTGTCTGTGATGTTCTGTACGCCAACTGAATGTTTTTGTCGGTTTCATTGGGTCTGTGTTAAATGCTTGACATCTTTGTAATAACCACAGACGAAAAGTATTAAAGAGTAACTTTTGAAAAGGACGCAATGTGTTGCTCTCATTTCAAAGCAGCTGTTATATTCAGAGTAACTAACCACATGAGTCTGCGAAGAATTTACTGCCGCCTCTCGGTTTCAACCAATCAGAGAGCTCGAGACTGATTTTTATTGCCAAGAGGCGTGGCTTTCTGTGAAAAAAAATGTACAGAAAAATGCTGAGTCACTCAACTCGCTGTTTTATGATCTAATTTATGATGAGCCAATGAAAGTGTCACACAGATGGGCAGTGTTGTTAATGGAAAATATGGGAAAGAATTAGAAAGTGATTTTTTTTTGTGGAAGTTAAAGGTGACATATCATGAAAATCTGACTTTCCCAGGTTTTAAGTGCTATAATCAGGTCCCCGGTGCATCTACCAACCAAGGAAACGTGAAAAAGATTAACCCAGTAACTTTTTTTTGGGAACCTTTTTCTGAAAGCATCTGAGAAAACGAGTGCATTCACAGAGACATTCTGGGGACACCAGAGACTTATATTACATATTGTAAAAAGGGGCATAATATGTCTCCTTTAAATAGAGATCATTAAAAAGTAGGATTTCACCATGAAATTATGTTTGTACAACAAAAAACTAATTGGGCTTGTGCTGCCTGACTAAACTACTTTCATGATTGAAGAAAACATCACTCTTAAAGAAAAGATTGAGATAGAATATTGAACTCTAAAGGAAAGAAGCTATTTTTTCACATTTGTTTATTATGCAGTAATTTCACAATATGTACATTTTTAAATGTTTAAATTGTAAAACGTCAAAAAAAAAAAAATTTTAACACGTCTTACAATAAAGAGAATTTTTACATTACAATAATGTGAATTTGTGAGGGTAATGTCCTTCACTTGTCTTGTTTTTCTTGTGAATTTAGGGTAAAATATGACATTTGTGTGATCCACCCTTCAATGTTTCTTGTCTTTTGCTTACCAACTCCGCTCAACAAAAAAAACAAAACAAAAAAAAAAACAAGAATTCTATATATTTTACACAAGATTTTTTATTTTAAGCTGAACATGATGATGAACATCAATAGTAACGAATTTGAAAGGCTCTTTTGTTTAAAGAAGGCCACATGAATAACACTCAGTTCTCAATATCAAGTGCTCATTTTCTTAATGAATCCACTGATTGTGACGTGATTGTGACATTGAACATCTCAGACACCGTCTGGCTCAGAGTTTCATCTGAACTCGTGAATGCAGAACATCACTCAAACAATGTTTCATAATAAAAAAAAGTCACTACACAGCCAATACAACAGTATCAGTAAATCCACAGTATCTGTCGTTTTTGAGATTAATATAATTTTCTACAATGATACATATGTATATAATAGTTTAAATTGTAACTCAAAAGCACATACCCAAGCACAGGTAAACATGCGTCAGAGGAAATGTACAAAATATGATCTACAAATGTAGAAGCTTAAAATATCTTTTAGTTAGTTTCCATCTTTTTTAATCCTATTTTAGTTACAAAGATCACATTTATCAGTACAGCTATGTTCTGTATTCTTCATACTGTAAATGAATCCCACAATGTGCAAAATCAGATACTAAGTTGACCTCGACTGCACCTTTCACCCTTGGTCTTTTTTTTCGAACAAATAAAAGTGTAAACAACATCAATGGCCATACAGACAGGACATTCAGAAGGCTGGAGCTGGTTATCACGTCATCACAGAACATCCACATCAGACTCAACAGCTGATTTTAAACAAAATAATAATGTTGCACAAAACACGTAAATACAGTCAATAGTGAGCTCAAATTAACACTTAAAGGGACAGTTCACCCAAAATGTAAATTCAGTCATCATTTACTCACCCTAATGTTGTTTTAAACCTACATT